AAGGCCTTCTGATTCACGTCATGTACCAATTGTCTGTCCCGTACTGCGGTCCTGCATAATAAAAGAATCGTTAATAAAATATATATCACAATAGAGGGCACGAGTCAAACGACTAACGGATACAAGACTAAAAGGACAGCCAGGGACATAAAGAACGGAATCTAGGGTGATAGAAGACAAGGGATTAGCTTGTCCAACTCCTTTGCCTTAGTTTGACATCCATTGGCTAAAGTAACAGTGGGAAGAGACTGTGAATATACAATATTTGACAAAAGTGATATATTACCAGAGATGTGATCAAAAGCGCCTGAGTCCATAACCCATGGGCCAAGAGTACTAGACTGGGAAACACAAACAAAAGAATTACCAGTAACAGAAGTATCAGTCTGAGCAACTGAGGCTACTTGTGGAGATGTCTGCTTACTTGCTCGATACTGAAGGAGCTCATTATATTCTTCTTTAGATAAAGAAAATCCTTGGGTACCCGGAGTCTCAGTCTGAGCAATGTAAGCATTTTTGAGTAGACGACCATGTAAGGAATAACACATTTCACGAGTGTGTCCAAGTTTGTGACAATAAGAACACTTGGGTCTAGATCTTCCAAAACGACCTCATCCTCGTCTATGCTCCATAGTTTGAGATGCCCGAACATCCACTGTCTGGGATGCAAGAACAAAGGAATCAAGTATCTGTGATGAGATCACTGGGTGACTTGGTGCTGCAGCAAGGCGGAGTAATCGAGAGAATAATTCATCAACTATCGGGACAGTCGGACTAGCCAAAATCTGGTCGCGTACTGAATCAAGATCATTAGGAAGTCCACCAAGGGTAAGAACGAGAAACATCGTTTATCGCTGCTCTTGTTGTTTTTCAACACTAGCAGAAACTTGGATCAATTTCTCAAATTCCTCCATGACTGCTTGTACTTGACCCAAGTAAGTAGACATATCTAATTTCCTGCTTCTTTAAGTTTGTCATTCGTGATATCACATCATGGAAGCGAGATATGTCATTAGTGTATAAGGTGCGTGCCTTTGCCCAAACCAAATAACATGTCTGGAATGGACGAAACAAGGGCATCAACTTGGAATCAATAGATCGCCACAAGATGCTACATAACTGAGCATCGATTTTTGTCCAAAGTGCTATTGCCTTTTCATCTCCTTCGCTAGACTGTTTGATTAGATGATCTTGAACACCCTGGCCTCTACACCACAACTCGACAGATGAAGCCCAAGCTAAGTAGTTTGAACCTCCCATTAAAGGTTCTGAGGTAATAATAACACTAGAGCTTCCAGAACTCATGTTTCTAGACCCAAAAGCATCAAATCCCAAAAACATTATTGCAAATTATTACCAAACAAGAGAAAGAATCAACTGTAATCTACTGAAACAGAGTAAGGAAATACAGAAACATAATAAAGAAATATTGTAGCTGTCACAATAGTACTGTAGCAGCCGGAAAAAACTCAAAGTGGTCGGAATGAAATAAAAATAGTAGGGGTAAGATCGGAATTACCAGGCGACCCAACTGTTCTGAAGGAAGTTTTTCAAAAATGGCCGGAAGTGGTCGTACGCGCCGGAGCGTGAGCTTCTGGTGGCGCGTGAGGAGGAGGCTGCCGGAGATTTTCACTGGGGTTTGGTCGCCAGACAGTGACTACTCTTGTGGTAGTGTTGGATTTTGCACAAAACTGACGGAGATAAAGCAGACGCAAACAGCCTTGAAAAAGTCGCCGGAAAAAGACTTTCGGTGACTGATTTCTCTTCCCGGAGTCACTGGAATTTATGCGCAGCGATAAATCTCTCACAATTGCTCTAATACCATGTGAGAAAGCACGGATGAAAATATGTTATTGATATTAGATGTTCAATACAATACAAGAGGTCCTTATTTATAGCTATACTATACAAGGACATACTACTCCTATTCCAATGTGGGACAAGACTACACTATATACATAGTTGTAAACTAACAGGTTCGTATGACGATTTCAGACTTGGGCGTATGTTCGGGTCGAGTGTCGGGTAGCCCGGGAGTATTTCGGCGCTTATTACGGAAAATTGGCATTTTGAAGGCTTAAGAATTTCCTAAGTTTGAGTTGGAATGGATTTTGATGTTATCAATGTCCGTTTGGGATTCCGAGCCTGGGAATAGTTCCTTATGGTGATTTTGGTCTTAGGTGCGTGTTCGGAGGTTGATTTGGAGGTCCGTAGGTCATTTCAGCGTCAATTGGCGAAAGTTGAAAAGTTTGGATGATTTTGAGAAGTTTGACCGGGAGTGGACTTTTTGATATCGAGGTTGGATTCCGATTACAGAAGCTGGAGTTTGGATGATTATGACTTGTGTGCAAAATTTGAGGTCAATCGGACGTGATTTGATAGGTTTCGACATCGATTGTAGAAGTTTGAAGTTTCAAAGTTCATTAAGTTCGAACTGGAGGGTGATTCGTGTTTTTAGCGTTGTTCGATGTGATTTAAAGGCTCGATTAAGTTCGTATGACTTTTTAGGACTTGCTGGTATGTTTGATTGGGGTCCCGGGGGTCTCGGGTGAGTTTTGGATGATTAACGAATCAATTTTTGAACTAAGGGAATGCTGGGATTTTTCTGGTTGCTGGTGCAATCGCACCCGTGGAAAAAGGGCCGCAGGTGCGACGCCGCAAAAACGGCCAGGCAAGTCGCAGAAGCGGAAGGGAGTGAGGGACTGGAATCCGCAGGTGCGGAAGATTTTCCGCAGAAGCGGATGCGCACCTGCGGTGAAGGAGCGCAGAAGCGAAGGAGTCGGCCTTGGGGGAGAGCCGCACCTGCGAGTAATCCTCCGCAGAAGCGGAGTCACAGAAGCGGCAAAAGACCGCAGGTGCGAAGGTCGGGGTTGGGAAGTGAGTTGTTTTAAGACGAGATTTGGCCCATTTCTTTCATTCTCTCTTGGTTTGGGGCGATTCTTGGAGAGCTTCAAGTGGAGGTTTTCATCATCAATGGCAAGGTAAGTTATCCCCACCTATTGTGAGTTAAATACAAGGATTTTTTTATGGATTCAAGCATGAAAATTTGTAGAAATTTGGGATTTTGAAGAAAAACCTAGAAATTGGTATTTTTGGAATTTGATCCCGAAAGTTAGACATGGAATTGGGAATAGATCATATAATTGAGTTCGTAGTGTTATGGGTAATGATTATCTTCAGAAATTTTCGGAACCCGGGCACGTGGGTGATTTTATCGACTTTTCGAGCGGAGTTGGAAATTGAATTATAATGAGTACTAGAGTGTATATTTATGGATTTGCACATTTATTGACTAGTTTGAAGCGATGGGAGCTGTTGGAAAGGCTTTGGAGCCGGTTATGAAATTTCGGAGCGAGGTAAGTTTCTTTTCTAACCTTGTAAGAGGGAATTAACCCCATAGGCAAATTGATTTAATAGGTGCTTCTATTTGAGGGGGCTATGTACGTACGAGGTGACGAGAGTCCGTGCGTAGCTACTATTATGCTTATGTTCGGGGAGTCTAGGACCCAAATCATGTTATACTTGCGATGTTTGCGCCCTAATTGTTAATTTAATTGCTTAAATCATACTCCCTCCATTTCAATTTAGATGAGGTAGTTTGACTCGGCACGAAGTTTAAGAAAAAAGAAGAAGACTTTTGAAACTTGTGGTTTTAAAAGCTTAAGGGGTAAAAGTTTTGTGAGGTCATGATATTTGTGTGGTTATAAAAGCTTCTCATTAAGGGTAAAATAGGTAAAATGAAGAGTTTAAAGTTAAATTATTTCCAAATTTAGAAATGTGTCATTTATTTTGGAACAGACTAAAAAGGAAAGTACCTCGTTTAATTTGAAACGGAGGGAGTATTGAAACTTGATAAAGGAATTGTAAAAGGTTAAACTTCATTTTCTTGACCGTTAATGAGAACTTGGTATTCCCTTGAATAATTGCCCCTTAATAAATCTTGAATTGGTTGTTGTAAATGTATTTTCTCTTTTCATGGAGCGGGCCGAACGCCTCGGTAGCAGATAGATGCATCTATGGTTCGCGCCGTTCGACCCTCGGCAGTGCACAATTTAAATATTTATGTTGGATCGGGCCGTACGACCTCAGCATGATTTGCGCATGATAAATCTTTGGAATTAATAATAATTGATATTGTATCATTGGCCTGAGATACAAATGTTAAATGACGAGAATAAATTTGGAAAATTTCCTATTAATAAAAGAATTGTCCACTCACTTCTTGTTATTAAGTTTATAGATGTTTCATACAATCCATGCTTAAGTATAATATCGTTATTTTATTGTTAGCCCATAGTAAGTGTCGGAGTCGACCCCTCGTCACTACTTCTTCGAGGTTAGACTAGATGCTTACTGGGTACGCGTTGATTTACGTACTCATACTACACTATACATTTTTGTGCAGGTGCATATATGTCTAGTAGACTTGTGGGCGCAGAGGCGCAGCTATTGCGGGGACTTAGGTGAGCTGCGTCCCATGTTACGAATTCGCAGCACACAGAGTCTCCTTCAGAGTTATCTACCCTCTCCTGTCTAATTGTATTTCCAAACAGATGTTGTATTTTAATATATTTCCAGTTGATGCTCATGTACTTGTGACACCGGTTTTTTGGGGTGATTATGGCTATTCAGTATTGTAGTTATGAAAATACTATCATTTACTTTGTAAATTCTATCTCTTACTATTTAATTGAAGGAAATTATGATTTCAAAAATACTGTGAAATGGATAATTAAGTTAATCAATTATTGGTGGCTTGCCTGACAGCGGTGTTAGGCGTCATCACGGCCTCTAATGGGATTTGGGTCGTGACATTCCACTTCTTGAAATACCTCGAAGCATTATAATGTCAGCAAATAATAGGGACAAAAAGCAACTGCAAATCATCAGGATAAACATACCAGAAGAAGATTCATTTCCCCCTGTCAGTCGAGCAACATCATCCTCTTCCTTTGTGTCATTATCATCCTCCTCCTCATACTCATACTCTTCTTCGTCTTCTGTTGCCGCTGCCTCCAATTCAGAGTCGTCGGAAGATGAAGACGATTCCGAAGGAGCATCCCGATCACCGTGTTCAAGCTTGTAAAATCGCCTCTTTATCATTGTCTTGCCAACTTTTATAACTCAACTGCAAGTAATAAAGACAAATCCATGAATCCAGCATATATAATCAATTACTTTGCTACCAAAAAACCTTCTTTTTTTCTAGAACGCCCTTTTCTTTTGAGCCACCTACAATGAAGTTGACACGTAAACCAATAGCTAAATCCCATCTTTCATTTACTCCAAATTGGAAATATAAAGTAGCATCTCTCTATCAACCAATTAAGCCTTAATCTCAAACTAGTTGAGGTTCACTATATCAATTATTTGCTGGAGAAATCCATGAATCCAGCATATAACATCGATTACTTTGCTACAAAAAAAAAAACTTTCTTTTTCAAGAACACCCTTTTATTTTGACCAATAGAAAGAACACCCACAATACATTTGATATGTAAACCAAGCAAATAAGCTAAAACCCATAATTCATTTACGCCACTGGAAAATAAAGTAGCATCCCTAGTTCCCTCCCATTAATAAATTAGGCCTTAATCTCAAACTAGTAGGGTTGGACTATATCAATTCTTTGTATTTCTTTATAGCTATTACAGCACACTCTTCTTCTATCTGAGCTTACCAGCTATAATAGTCGGAGTAAAATAGATTCTCTGTTAGCAAGAACATATGATTCCACGAATTTGCGACAAATAAAAAAATCATGAAACTGGTGAGTGAAATTCTATGATAGACATACTCAATCGACTGTATAGACAAAGGATTTCATGCTTTGGACATTATGGGGAAAGAGCAATTAAACATATAAAGAACACAAAAGAAACGAAACGAAACGAACCTGAGAAATAGATAGAGGTGATTTTGATACGAGGAAGATTGTACAAGGAGGCAGGGTTTTAGACTCAAATTAGGAGGGTTTAGGTCGGGGAGAGGTAAAAATCAGCTGTGGCCAAGTTTAAATTTCAACTGCTACCTGTCAACTTTCTATTGGTTATTATTAAATTTTTTTTTTTTTTGAATCTCTTGGGTCTATTTGGAAAGTCACCAATTGAAATTGGTATAATTATTAGGGTACTAATTATATAGTAATTACATTGTATTGTAATTATGATGATTTGTTTATTTGTGGGAAACTATTGGGTTTATTGTTGTTGTTTTTGTTGTTGTTGTTTATTTGTAATTATATAGCGTAATTACATGTTTGGTCACCCAAGTGTAACTACCCAGTTAGATTAAATTTTAAATATAAAATTAATTATCAAAAATTAAAAGTTAAGATTTAACAAATATATGGATTTATAAATGATAAGTATTAAATTTGACATTTAAGATACATATTATTTTCTGAAAATATATTAATTACTAATCATATAGTATTCGTAACTAATATAAAGAATAATAATTTACATATATTTTCAAATTAATAAGATTTTACTTTAATTAACTACAAAAACTAAAAGTACATATTTTGTAAGAACATCATGGATTACATGCTTGATAAAAATATTAATATTTATAAATATAATACCATAACATTACTCAAATATTTTACGAAAAATAATCTATCAATTCTAACTGAAAAATGAACGGCAAGCAATCTAAAGTAATAAGTCAATACTACTAAAGCAAATAAAATGGAATAAAAAATATAACATAAATTCAAAATCCAAAAAATATTTAACATAATACTCTCTTATATAAAATTACAACATAACATAAAATAAGTTTCAGCATAATTATGTAAATATAATTCAAAAGAAAAGGAAAACATTAGTTTATAACCTCATTCAATAATAGATTTTACTTTAATGACATTACTCATTATATGCCAAGTTTATTAATGACTTGTTGTTTCTAATAGCATGAGGTGTAGTTTGAAAATAGAATAATAGCACAATTATGCTAAATGAGGAAAATAAAATATATGAGCAAGTACATGAAATCACAAAAAATAAAATATTGGAAAATGAGAATATTATTTAAATATTAAAAGAATAATAGCACAATTATGCTAGAAGAAGAAAATAAAGAAAATAAAAAATATGAGCAAGTACATGGAATCACAAAAAATAAAATGTTGAAAAATGAGAATATTATTTAAATATTAAAAAATAATCTTAAGTTTGCATATAACCTCATCCAATAACAAAATTTGTATATAAAATTTGAAGTCATTTAATGGAGATTTGGATTGGTTTTGAACAAGAATTACAACTAAAGATCGTTGAAGAAGTTCGTTTATAGACGCTTGTATAAAGGTGTATAAGATGTGTTTATACACTCATATACGCTATTATACAAGATTATACATATTTATACAAAAAACTGACTTCGTCTTCTTCCTTACATCTTTCTGAAATTTAACTCAAATCTTGCTCAAATCTACTCCAAATCACTTCAAATTTAAATTTTGAACTCATTTTGATATTTTCAACCAATTGGAACAACACTCAATCCAAACAACTAATAAACTCAAAACATCCTATTTTCGAAAGCAAAGCTTTGAATGGCCTTCAATGGTGGACTTCTACTCTTCAATTTTCTTACATTGCAACCAGGTGACATAGGGGGAGAAGCAGAAAATACAGTGCCTCTTGAAGTATATGTAGAAGATGTGAGAAGAAGAGAGAGTGAAAGCAATGGTTGTGAGAACACAGATTTAACTCCATAGCTTTTAGAAATAATGGTTGTAAGAACACAAATTTTGAATTTGCTAGTGCTTTCAAAATATGTACAATATGGGCTAGGTCGGGTAAAACTTAAAAATATGGGCCATTTTTTGTTATGGTGTGATGTCACGTGTATTTTCTTGTAATTCTTTCTATTTTTTATTCCAGCAATAGAAGCGCTATGTCTCTCTCTTCCATAACTGAAAAGCTAAAACTTGTAATTCAGATTTTTTTGTTCTTCTTCGTTTATAAGGTAGTCTTAAAAAGTTGGTTCAATGTCTAGTTCAAGTGTTACATCGAGAAGGGGGTACTATTGTGGGGAGATTGCGAACAACTTCACTTCGACGACTCCAAACAACCCCGTAAAGAGATTCTACAAGTGTGCTAAACCTGAAGTAAGTTTGAATTTTGTTGTGATTCATTACTTGAATTTTTTTGAAGTTCTATTTTTCTGCTCTTTAACATAGTTATTGATTATGGTTGTGGATATTGGGAATAGCAAGATAAGGTCATTCCGGATAAAGTATTGATGGTAATCAACAATTTCAAGTTTAAATTAGATGCTTCCATTGACAAAATCACAACGTTGAATATGTTGTCGGATGCGTGCAAGCTTGAAAGGGATAAATTGATGGAAAATGTTGATGTTTTGGAGGCTATAAATGATGTTGAAGTGAATAAAGCAAAGGAGATGGAAGTGAGAGTGATGTAAATGAAGATGTTCGTTATGGTTTCATTTGCACTTTTTGTCGGATTTGTTGTGGCATTGTTGATGAAATAAATTTTGCATTTTGTCTAGTGCCGTAGGTTTTTGATGAAGTGAATTGTTGTAAAATTCAGATTGTCATGAATGTTTTGTGTTGGTCATCTGGATTGTAATGTTTTGTGATGAATATTTTGGCGTGGTTTTTAACCTATTGTAATGCCTCAATACTTGTAGTTCCTTATATGACATGTTAATGTGGATTTTAAATTGGACAAAAAATTAAGCACTTAAACTAGGCAGTAAGGCACACTTAAAATCCAACACATTTCAATTTCAACTTACCCATAAATTTGCAGTAAAAAATTAGGCAATTAGGGCACACTCTGATTTTTCAATGATCAGGGCATGTATGGCTAAACTGAACGAGTTCAACTATAAATGGTCAGGTCTTCCAAGGCATACACATCAATACACACAAGTCCAAAAATCATAATAATAATTGACCCGGCTGTAAATAACATTGGTCAAGTCTCAAAAATAATCCATTCACTTCTTGGACATTTGAAAGAATATGACAACAATTACACGCATTGAACCATCATCACTTTAAAACTTCAATAACTTCACTAACATTAAATATTGGTCATCACGAAGTATTGTCAATGCAATAATTATATATCACCAAAAATAGTAAAGATGGTAGGTCAAACTGATGATTGGATGTCATACTATAACCCCAAAAACTTACAAAACCTAAGTCATACTATGATATCCAATTCAGTTATCAGTATCAATATTAACAGAACATTAAACAGGAGACTATCATTAAGTTTGCAGTATACATCCCAACATATCACAAAACTAAATAGAACAGCTTGATCATTTTCCTTTTCCTATCTTCAACTTCCTAATTTTCTGTTGCCTTTGTTTTTCTAACTGATTTAAAGATGTAGTTGCTTTCCCCTTCTAGATTAGGCCTACTGGTGAATATGGAAAATATGCGGGCTCACTAATACCAGTGTGATTATCAGTAAAGTTGATTGACCTTGTCTTAGATGGTATGTTTACATGTTGCCTCATGTGAAGTCTCGTCTTTACTTCTAATATCACTATTGGCCTAACCACATCACCTTCATCATGTTCCATCTCTAGGAACTTAAAATTTGGAACCATACTTGGGTGGCCGACTCTAGGTGTAGGCATGAAGCTAAATCCACTTTCTTGACTATCATTTGTGGTATGGAACAATGGATTTCATCTTCAGTTTCAAAATCTAACAAAGTGCTCGTCCTCTTCAAAGATTGTTTTCCCTTACTTAGATGCTTCCCCTTTGGTTGCTGTTAAAAACAAAGTTAGAAAATATAAATTAGTATAAAATTTTCTAATAAATGTGCAAACTGTAGATTACTTGAGCACAAGTTCTTGCATCATAGTTTGGTTGTCCACATTTTCCACAAGTCATGAATCTATCTTTTATAGACTGTGACCATACTCCTTGCCTTTTAATTACCTCACCCTTCTGCCTATCTCTCCTAACCTTAGGCTTGCCATCTAACTTCACCAACTCCGGTGGCTCCATTTCTTGTGATGGGTCAATTTTCCAAAAATATTCTCCTCTAACAGGTTGGAGCTTGTGTCTATAAACAAGTAAAAATACCTCCTTACTGTACCACCAGTGCATCTCTGTTAAAGGGTCACCCCTGTGTAAATTATATCTCTAATAGCATGAGGACATGGGATTTCTGTAAGGTCCCATGCCCTGCAAGTGCACTTTTTCATGCTTAAATTTACACAATGCTCGCCAGATCCTTCTATAACTTCATATCCATTTTCTCCATTGGAATTAACTTGAGCAATCTCCATGAATTCAATATGGAGTTCTCGGCGCTTTGGACTAAACTCATTGCTCCATGTCCTAACTTTTTCTTCATGTTTTTTCATCATGTTCATGACTTTGAGTCTAATTTCCTCCAACATCTTAATGATTGGCTTTTGCCCTGCAATCAAAATCCATGCATTGAATGATTCAGTCGGATTATTATCAACTGACTGATTCTTGTGCACTGTATCCAGATAAGCTATGCACAAAACATGTGGTAGGTACTGCAATAAACTCTCAAGTGTCTATTGTTGCATCTTATTTTGCACGAGTCAAAACAAGATTCAACTTGTGGTTTCCTTGTTGATAATAAAAGAAAGTCGCCACCTAATATTTAAAGGTATACTAGAGTACTTGTTTAATTGTTAAACCATTATTCTATTAGTCTACTAGCTAGTGAGATTTTGGTAAGGTTCTTATTCTTCTAAGAGAAATGTGTTTGGCACCCCTTAAAATCTACCTAAGGTAGCTCTATAGGACTTAGACTAGGTTTAGGAAATTCAATGTTTATATTCTACTTGGTTAGTGCTTAGAAGTATACGGCTTACCTTATATTATGATTTAAAACTTATCATTTTGAAAGGAAGATAGTATATGTATTTTTTTTAAGAGAGAGGGAGCATATGTTTTACTTATAAAAAACTTGAAAAGTGTTCATATTTGTGTAATTGAAAGAACTTTTGA